TGGTTATAAGCCAAGATTTGCAGTACAATTTTCACCTCTTAATGGATTTTGATTACGTCTCCTGAACATAATCTCTAGGCTGAGAATAGGCTGCTATTAGTAGAGCCTATAATCTCTGCTATAGACTGCATTAACCACATATAATACACTGAAATGAGACTGGCTGATCTTTTTTTTTTTGATGCTTTGTGACTTTGGAGGGAAAATAGTCAAATAGGAGAGGGCCTTACCCATCCAATGCATCTGCTACAGCATCATCGATATCTGTGTAAAAAAGATATAGGTGTGTCTGGAACAGGCAGCAAGCTGTTCAGAGAGAGCCTGAAAACACTTTAAACTGTTTTTTATGGTGTTTTAGTGTAACAAAAGAGCCTTCCTTAACTTGGGTTTGCCTTTTCAACCGGTGGTACAGAATTGGATGATACCTCATAAACTTATCCGTACTAACACACTTGACAGCTTTTATGAAAATAGTTCATTTTATAATATTTAAACTCTGCAAGTCTCTGAGTTCTCAAGTGCTATGAAAAAACCTCCCCGCAATGTGCACTTTATATGTGGCTTTAATTATCTGCAATGTGTGCCACTTTTATTGAGGATGTTCCCAGGTGCCCATCTGCTGTGTTGACTGGAAGTTCCCCGGGGGGATCACTGACAATCATTAGTCCTGGTGGAAGAAAGCCTGCTCTAGTGCGGCAGGTTCGCTGGGACTGAGAATCTGAACAAGCCACTCCAAAGCAGTGAGCAATTACAAGCTCAAAAAAAGATCAGGGCTTAAAATGTCACCTAATTCTCCAACACCTCGAGCACCTGTAATTGCTTACTTCTGAACACATGGCTTCCAAACTGTTTTATTACTAGACTGCTGCGCTCCGCAGAGGTGGCATTTACTTACCTTTCCCAAGTGAAATAAATGCCCAGAATAGTACCTAACAAAGACTCAGGCAAAGCGCATTCCTCTAAAAGAGCTTTACCTTCTTGAAGAGCCATAAAATATTAACTGTGTTAACTGAAAAATTAATCTCACTTTTGTCACTGCTATTTTTTTTTTCAGGCTGCTGTAAAAAAGAGCCATAGTTCTTACACCCACAGTATGCAAGAATGGTTTTCATATGCTGCCATCTGTTGTTAGTGTACCCATTTCATCACTACACTATGCCGATGGGGTTTTTATTCCAGCAGTAAGCACATTCCTTCCAAAAAGTCTGTTAAAAGTGCAGTTAAGTTGGAAGAACTGCTTTAATTCATACATGCTCTGCCTGAGACAGCATGCAATGAGATTCTAACAATTCCGCTTTCAATTGTGGCAATAGCCAAATTAGTGTTGTTTTTTCTCCCACTTAATTTACTCCACGTATCTTTATTCAGACCATAGCCAGAGCATTCATGTTCTAAACCAGCAGTAAATTTACAGCAAAACATACACACACATATCACAAACTTGGCATATATTTATACAGACCAAAATTATAAAGGATCATGTCAGTGCATGAATACCTTTACATAAACTCCCCTACTTATTTAGGCAGCTGTTTTAGAATATGTACGTTTAGTTATGGTTTGCATATATATAAGCTATGGAGTTGAGTCCAAAATCTGATCTGTCAGCACCTTGTTCCCTAAATCTGTATTATATAAAATAGAACATAATATTTCAGAAAGGCAGGAAAGTAAAACAATTTGTGCGTAATCAAACAAGGGGTGATCACTATGCATTGGAGAGCAATCCTAAAGCAGTCAGGCACACATGGCTCTCAGATACACAGCGACAAACCAGTTGGCAAGATGCTAAAACAACATTCAGGCTAAAGGTATTTAAAACCTGTGCGCATGCCTTGCCTGAAGGGGAATCTCCTGCCTTGGATACCTACCTGTAATTCAGTAGCCCTAGCCAATTCCTAGCTCTTTTACTTACTTCCTCTACAATCTGGGGCAGCTCTCTTAAGCTCTGCCCCTGTAGCTCATCTGCCCAGCACAGCTAATTAAGTCCCTTTCTCTCCTGCCTCTGTCTCTCCCACCTATTTAATTTGCAAGATCTATAGGCAGAGATGTCTCTATGTACATATTGCCATACAGGCTCATTACCGTTTTGGGCTAGGCATCATCTGAACGTGACTTAAATGTTTCTAGATCTAAGCTGACCAGTGAAAAGCTTCACGCTCTCAGGACCTAAAGCAGCATGCCCCCCTGGACCTGGAAACGTCACAGCAAGAGGCACTGTCCAGGATCAACATGCAGCCTGGACGAACTTCTCAGTTAACAACGTTGACAGTACAGGCAGAGGACAGTATTTCTGTGGCCAAAGAGCAAAATAAGCCTGGTTTTAAAGTGGAAGTGGTGAGACTTAAACATCATGTGAAAGCAGCTCGAAATCTGTGCTTGTTCCAGCAGGATGTTAGCTCAAAAAAAATATATGGGATTCACGACAGTCTCTGAAGAGCAGAAACCTTTACACGGCAGCAAGCTATTCAGCCTGAGCCCAGTACAGAATTACAGTCCCTGGTTATAAACATTTGCATTGGATAAAAAAGAAAAAGGATGTTATGGACTGATTTTTCAGAATTCACTCACTGTGTATAATTGCTCTTTGTTCTGTTTGATGCTGTAATGCACTGAAGCTTATTGCCACTGGTCACCATGGATTTTTATATTCAAAACACAGGCTATATTCCTATATTCCACAGACTGTTCCTATATTCCTACTTCATATACTACGGAAATCTAGGGGCACTGTAATTCCACAATAAAAAACTATGTGCAGCCATCTTGAAACTGGCTGCTGATATTGTTCAATACATTTGAAGTAGAATATATGCAAGGACCTTCTTTCACTTGTATCTCTCGAGATTGTCACATGCAAAACAAAAAAAATAATCACACAGTATCAAGATTCATTTGTACACTTAATTAATATTCCGGTTTTCTCCTCAGTTTGCATCTTTTGGTGATTTATTACCCTTACTTATCCAAAACCCACTATAAATGTACAATTTAAATTTTGGATCTAGAAATATTAAAACATCTCAGTTTAAAAAAAAAAAAAAATTCCTTCCAAGGCACTTGTATTGAGCTTTGTTGATGCTGCCTTTAAGAATGACAGTAGAGTTGCATAAATCAATTAACACACTTTGAAGCTTTCTCAGTATAGTGAAGCTTCAGTGACAGAGATGTTTAAGAACAGCTTTGAGAGAACTAAGAGAGGCCTTACCTTGACTTTTAAGCCACAGCCTAAGAGGAGGAAGAAAGAACCAGCTGCTGTTTGTGCAAATCTGACATGTTCTGAGTTTTTTAAGTAGTAGATAGTAGGAAATAAAAAATAGTTAAAATTAGTTAGAAATCATTCTTTAATTTCAGCTGTTGCAATGGCTGTATGCAAGTTGAAATGCTAGGCATGCTGAGAAGCACACGAATGCATGTACTTTGCTAACTTGCCAAGCAAGCCGACATCCTTTCAGCAGTATGGTTGTAGCATAAACCCATATCCAGAACTATCCTCTTGTCCTTCAAGCGTAATGTTCATTTTGGATTGGAGAGCCCATATTGTTAGCAGCTCTAACAGAACCTCTTCCTGCATTCTGAATGTATATAGCACAAACCCAGCAACTGAGTGCAACTTCCAGCACTTGCACAGGAGTGCCACATCCCACATCACGATGTTTGCACAACTCTGTTGTATGTGAGCTCTCAATGTCATTTTTCACTCTCAGTTACCAAGGCATTTGTTTCTTTCTTTTCAGATTGAGAGATACTACTTTTTATTTAAAAGATAATACAAAGAAACTGTGAGCTGCTTTTTACCATGAGGGGGGAAAAAAAAAACCAAGAGTATTGTAGAAGATTTATATCACAATGTTTAGAAATGTCAATGAATATGTAAAAAAGGCAGATGGGACCAAAAAGCAGTCATCAGATTGAGTATAACACCAAAGCATGAAGTTAAGCAGGAAGCAGACTAGTGACAATGGGGTTTGCACAGGCACTCCTGGTAAAGCGAGGTCTGTGACAGAGCCAGGCACACACACCGAGCAGGGACCGGCACAGGCGGGCATTTCAAATCAATGAGCACACACGGATGCAGTTCACATGGTGAATGGCAAAGCACCAGCATTCAGAAGTTGTCACCCAACAGAAATCTGTTTCAATTTTGTAGGCTAGACCTCTATTTAAGAAGACAGCAGCTTAGTACAACTCCATCCCAAGACTGCGCACTGCCACAGAACAGCTTTTACTTGTATGCTGAAATTATACACCCCTCAGTTTCTTCACAGCTTTCCCACATAGCCCTGTTTCCTGAACCCAGTTTTTTACTGAAGATGTTCTTGGACAAGAAATTTTTGGCTTGGCTCCAATTGAATGCTTAATTATTTAGGAAGTCAAAGTATATCCAATAATTCTGTAACATTGATTTATAATCAAATAAACATTTGCACAAATGAAATAATTATACTAACAGCCCGTAAAGCTTACAGACTGAATTGAGAAATCTCAGATGAAATTATGACATTAAACATCTAATTTAAACATCGGCAAGATTATCAAATTATTGTTTCTCCTTATAACAAGTCACCTCTTTTTTTCTCCCAGTTACAAGTGCCGTTTTGATGGTATGATGACAAACTAACTAAATCAGCAAGTCTGAATACAGCCTTAGGATAACAACGTTATCTTCAGCAAATAAACCTTCTCAAGTTTCTCAAGCCATCCTGGTACAAAGTAGCCTTAGAGCAGATCACCCAAGTGTGCACACTGCCAAAGTTCCACAATTGCTTGTAAGAGAGATGGCACAGTTCTGAATGTCCACATTTGGATTACCTTGCAACTGTGATTTTGTGTGTGTGTGTGTGTGTGTGTGTTAGCACAAGCCTCAATACTGAAGCACTAGATGCGAGAGAGCGCCTTTCATACTTGAAACCATGGGGACAAACGTCCAAAAGGCCAGAAGTTTTTGTCTTCCTTAAAGAAGAAGAGGGATCTAAGCAACACACTTAAGAACTTGTGTATTCAAAAATGTAGAAAGACACAGCAGAGTTAGTCATTTGTTGCATCCACAAAAATATAAGTTTATTTGCATATGCAATACTTACAGGGTATTTATTTATTGTAAGTGAAAACTGTATGCTCACAATTTCAATAACAAGTTCACTTGCCATTTAAAACTGCAGTCTTAATAACTGCAACTGACAGTTTTACTCCCCAAATGTTAAAGAACTTGCGGCTTCCTTCTGTTCTTTATGCAACTGTTTTGCCCTGTTTTTCAAATCCTCTGCCTTAGCATCATTTTTCTCAATGCCATCTCCCAGTTTGTACATTCGACTGGCATTGGCACAAGCCCATATGTGACCCAGCTCACACCCTTTCAGCGAGTACTTCAAAGCATGGTTCATGTCCTTAGGGACCCCAGGTGCTCCCTGGAGGTATATTACACTGAGGTTGAAGCAGCTAGGAGCAAAATTGCCATCACAGGCTTTTGTGTAATAGTCTCTAGCGACAACGGGGTCAGGTTTATCATCGTTTACCCTCCCATCATGGGCCAATAGCCCAACGTTATGACACGCATTTACTGACTTCTTCCCACCTTTCGCACATGACTTCATAAAAGAGTTGTAGGCAGCTTTCAAATCTGGGTCAAGTCCACCTGTTAGCCAAGAAACCAAAAGATTACTGGAAGGACAGGCTAAAACAGATGGGAGCTCTCTGCTTTGCAGCATGCTTCCCAGTGCTCTTTGGGAAATACAGCATCCCTCACTTCAGATGCTACAGACAAAATTTAGGACTGAGAGACACTATCATTGTCTCAATTACAAGGTTTTGCTAATGTCTTCAAGTTAGGAAGCCCTCCTCCACTCCCCAGCAATCACAACTTATGCAGACAAAAAAAAAAAAGGTAAACCAAACCCACAAAACATTCTTTCCATGACTACATCTATGGATTTCTTAATAGCTTACACTAGGCAAAGTATTCTTTTGCCAGTATACCTACAGGTACACTAAGATTGTTACTAGTTTTGAACTACAGTAAAAATATGTTCCTTCCTAGCATTGTCATTTGGAAGAAGACTCACTAGTTTAACTGCTTCCAATTACTGTACCAGCAGATACATGTTGGGCAGACTTGGGGCCTACTTATGTGTCTGTATACACAGTGTTACCAGTCTGTAAGTTTATTTCTTCCTTACTTTCTCTAAAAAAGAGCAGCCAGACAGGAAGAAATCCAAATTTTAAGAACAGGACACACAGCAACATTCAGTACTGAATATACTTACCACTTATACAGACATAACTATTAAAAAAAAAAAACAAAACGTGGCTAACCTAAAGTTGATTCTTCAGAAGGAAGCAATTAAAGGTTTTCCACCCTTCCCCAGCTTTCATTATGTGACCATAAAAGGGGCAGGACAGGTAGTTTTCAAGGTCAGGAGGAAATGCAGGTGTTCAGCACCTTTGGAAAAGCAGAAGCTGCCTCCCCACAGACACCGGGCACCCTCGCCGCGCCGGTGCCCGCACACTGAAGAGTTCACGCTGCTGGCAGGGCCGCC